GACTTTCTTTCGTCTATATTTCAGCAATCTTGAGATAACAACGCTTCCGGTTGTTCTCTAGTTTCTTTTCGGCGCTGGCCACTCACCCCCTACAGTTTGAACTTTTGATCCCGCTGCTCGCGTGCTGAATGTGCCTTTGAAAATTTATTCCGAGGAGCGTGTCAGATAACAGAGCTACGGTTCAAAGACGAAGAATATTGTCGCTCTGAAAGCGACCTCGAGGAAAGCCAAGAGCATTTCAAAGTTTAATCACTGATTTATGTGATCAGATTGACAGACCGATTAGTAATAATCGGATTGACCGGTCAACAACGAATCACTGATACATTGAGAGATACTTTTGCCGTTTTTTGAAGCACCACTTGATATTTAAAAACCAGCTGAAAAAGCATTTACGTTCTGGCTCCTAAGCTTCTGTAACTGTACCAATAGCTGTTGCTCAGGTGCAACTTTGACCTTTTTTGTAACAATTTTATTCGTACTGTCAACGAAACCATGTTTACACACATCGTAGTTGAGATCATAAGTAACCGTTTTTTGAAGGCTTTGCTGAGCGAGTAGAGGGCGGATTAATGCGCAGTAGCAGCGAGTCCTTGTTCATAACGAATCGCCGTGGAGTTGGGCGGTCATCACCTCTCTTGTCTAATCAGCTCTTGAGATTCATATTTTTTGGGGTAAAGCTCGTTTGGAGGAGATGTTTAGAATAGCGACTGATACTAGGCTGATAAGCAGCAATACGGTGCCGATCACTAGATAAAAGAAGTGTGAAGGAATTGGAAAGCTGGAAGTATCTTCTTATCGAGCTTGAAGTTTAGTGGAATTATCACTCGATGATGACCAAAGATGGCAGAATTCGGTTGGAGGTGTACATGAGGATTCAGACGTAATGGTAGATCGCCATTCAAATGGGCTGAGAGAAGGTCCTGAAATGGTTCACCATGAATGAAGCCAGCTACTAAATAATAGAAAATTTCGGCGTATTTCCCACGAGGAGGAGGGGCACTTCTGTGAACCCCAGTCGACGTACTGGGCAATGATACGAACGACAAGCTACACTGTGATATTGGTATCAGTTTCTTGTCGAGTGGCCATTAGCAGAGAGCGGTTGACTTATCGCAATCAGGACATTTCCTCCTACCCCAGTGTGAACCCCGGTCAGCATAAAGGCCCAGGGTCAGCTATGACTGCAAAAAACTGACATTAATCAAACATTGGTACTGCTCTAGGCCAACTTTACCGGAGAACCCGTGTAACGACGGTGAATTTCTTTCCTGGGAGACCATACCATCAGGAGAGCCAAGCGGCCAGTCCAACTAAGCCTTCTACCCTCCGGAGATGGCAAATTGGTACCAGACTAGTCTGGTAGGATAGGAACTGATTTGTACCATCGGCTGACCTACGCAAGTCATTGTGATAGACCACATCGCATTCAATAACCCACTACGATTCTGAACGGAAGTAGAATGCGTGCCTCTTTATCGTTTTGAAAAATAAAACCAAGGAAAGTTGCTTCATTGGAATATTTCAACTTCCACGAAATGAACCGCCATTGAATAAGCGGTGCGGTACGGCGGCTAGAAATGCCGTATCGCAGCTGTGCGAAAAGAGATCACTCCATACAAGTCAGTTAGGCTTTTACGCAGTCAAAAGTATCATAGCGGAAGCGAGTGCCAACCCAAGAGGCTTTTTTTGCGGCCAAAGCTTGCGAACAGACGCTTCTGGGACCCACAATCGAAGCCAACCGTGACCGGGGTAATTGTTATGGCCAAACCATAATCGTTTGTTGTCGTATTGCTACCGCTCTGTGCTACGTGGCCTCATGAAATGTTTCTGGTATCATTCTCGTACCATATAGCCTGCTACCCCCTCCCCCATTCCAAAGAAAATGCACAAGTTTCTATTGTATGAAACTTGAACAGGGGGTCTATAGTCGTAGAAGAGAAGCCAATTACTGACCTCAATTTCACTGCGATGGCGATTTAGGCGTTCTTCCAGGTGCTTGGCGATTCCTTGTAGCTCCTCGAAATCGGTGTGCACGTCATGGGTCTGTAATCAATCAGTAAATAACTTGTTGGATTACTGCTGGAGCTTATGCTGGCGGGGTCATTTGTGCCTAAGCTGTTGTGGAATGTGCGATGTGACTGTTACGTCACAAATGCCCTCAAACAAACAAAGAGTAATCACATGGCTTTCGCATATGATAAGGGCATTCCGACTGCAGGTTGATACCTGCTAGGAATGCATTGACCTCACTAAATACCCTCTTATGCACGCCCACGATGGACTACGGTAGCAACCAACCTCAAGCTCGATGATTTCGTAGCGTGCTGTCCATTTGTAATAGCCATCTTCAGAGATGCCTATGTCCAACTCGGTTAGTCGCATCGATATGACCATTCCGAAGCGAAGATACGGTATGCGATGATGGGCGGCGCGATTCTCATAGGACAGTACGGTATCCAATGAAAGATGAAGTATTGCTTGATCTTTCAATATCTCTATTCGCGGTGAAGAGGTGACACGACTGTCGAGATGTCCTGTAATATAAGGTTTGAACCTGATGTCACACCTATCGACTTAGTCGATCACCTACCTGAACCATCCGTAACTACGTCAAGATCTACAAGTGCTCCAATACACTGCTCACTATCGCACTGTGTTCGTAGAAATTGGTGAACTACTGGGATTCTGTGCAGGTGGAATATGATATTTCCACTTTCTGTCAAGTCGTAAAGCATTTCGTTGATGTAGTCTTCGGTCACGGAAACTGACGCCATTTCACCGCCGGTGGCCTAGAAATGAATGCTATTTAAAATATGCGATGCGGCCTATATGGTTTCGGGGAGCTAGCAGATGTACAAGTTAGTGTTGCTGTCTTTCCAGACGAATCTTGTACCAATACCGTAGTCGGAGGGTAGAAGAGTTGGTTGGTCTGGGCAGAAGCTAAATTCGTTTTCGACCCTCGAACTGCGCGCGTGGAAACGTGGCTCCTGCCGCTATACCACCTGAGCCCCCGTACAAAACAAAAGTATTTAATAATTCGCCTAGGATTAGAGAAGAATTATCAAATAATTCGCATTGAATTGATGAAGGTTAGTCAGAAGGCTTAGTTAGAGTGGGCAGAGCCGATCCAGGATCAATATACCAAGCCCCACGCCTGGTAGGGGCACTTGCCAGTACACACCCTTTTCCCCGCTACACCACCCTTTTTCAAAGAATCGGGGGAGGAGGGGGATTAACGATCAGGACACCGTGAACCACGTATAACCTCTTACCTCCGGCTCGTCAACGCCATTGGTGATGGCAGATCGTTTCTCTCTAGAAATGGCACGCTTGAAGGAGAGCTTCGCACCACGCGAGTCGAGACGCGTGGCCACTCGATCGTGTTCGATGACACAGGGAGATAGTGGAAGTCCCTGGAAATCCAGCTTCGACTTGCGCCTGCTCTTCCTGGGTCTAAATTACGATGTCAGGTTTTCACAGAGGCACCTTCGTGGTCATCATGTTTTTATCAGTGGAGCACGTGCGCAGCAGCTGTCCGTCCAACATCAACAGTGCGACTGCCGGAAGTACTACCACTACCATCATGCTTTGATACGCTCACATTTGACAAAGTGACGACACGATCCTCGAGACAAATCTCGGTTGGGACGGCCCGACGGAGAAGAAGACTCCACCATTCTCGGAGCAGTCAAGGAGGATCCGGAGGATACCATGCGAAGTCTTGCGACACGACTCGGATGTACCTAACTGACAGTCGTCCACCGCCTGTAAGCCCTTGACTACCAAAAGTACTGGCTCGATGGATCACTCATACCTTGACCGATGGCACGCTGTGCACCCGGGTACCCTTTGTCAGTCTCCCCTTCTCCGCCCTCGTCAGAAAGGAGTTTCTAGGAGACTGCTTAGTGGAGATGAGAGATGGGTCCTCTCTGATTTCAACCCACACAGTACCGTGTGTCTCTCTCAAAGAG